ATTTGAGGAAAGAGATGGTAAACAATCATGAGGGAGAATTTCTAGATAGAGTGATTCATGCACTTCCCTCACATATAAGGCCATACCCTGTATTCAGATTAGAATTACATTAGTTTCCTGGGACTACCATAACAGCATCATAATAAACTGGGTGCCTTAACATCAGAAATGTATTCACTAACAATGCTGGAGGGGACAGTGAGAGAAAGAAAGAAAAAATTCACTAATAATTTTAGAATCCAACAGTAGGAAATGTAGGAATCTGTGCTCTCTCAGCTGCTTCTCTCTCTCTCTCTTTTTTTTTTTTTAAATTTTATTGGAAAAAACATGTTGGGGATACAAGGAGGTGTGAGGGTTGGGAAAAGGGTGAGGATGGGCAGGGATGAAAATTGCAGGGATGCATTTGCAGGGCTGCACAATTTGGTTGGTGGAGGGAGCAGGTGAAGGAAATAAAAAGGATCTTGTGGGAACCAGATGATACAGGGCATAAGTAAGCATAGTCCAAATGGTGAGTAAACAATCTGTCTTATTCACTTGTGGGTTTCTCATTTGGGAATTGGGCTTAGACTCTGGCTTCATCTTGCTGAACAGGGGCGTTGAGGTGAAGGGGGAAAGGAAGCACACTTTCTCACCTTACTGGTGGTCTTGGGATAGAGCTGCTTGCCTTCTTGCTCTGTTAGAAGATATTTACTCCCCTCTGGACTGCAAAATGTTTTCCCAGGTGGGTCCAGTGGGGATGGCTGACAGAACCCTGAGGCTCCATCTTCCTTTGCTTCCTTAGCTGGCAGTTGTATTTCCTTTTTGTCTCGAGCTGGATTCAGGGTTAGGTCTGGAGTAAAACTTAGTGTTAAGGTTATCTGTAGAAAAGGGAACAAACCTAGAGAGAACAAACTTGTGAGTTCTACAAATAGAAGGGCTTTGGGGGTGTTACTTATGGGTGTACTGGGGGAGAGGGTGGAGGAATGTAGCCTAGATAAAATTCTCTGTACAACCTTGGCAGTTTTTTCTGCCCAGGGGTCAGATGGCAGAACCTGAGGGCTGAGGAACTTACCCCGAGAGCTGGCTTGCCCCGAGGGCCAGAACTGCTCGCCCCAAGGGCTGGACAGTATCCCCTGAGGGCCGGGTGACACACTCTAGGCGTTGGCTGGCACACTCCCCC